AGGGGGGAGGGGGGAAGGGGTTGGGGGTGCGGGCAGAGGTGGCCTTTGGTTCCGCTGTAGGTTCCCCATCATGACCTGCTTCATCGGGTATGGCGGGCGCCTGGGGTCGTGCGCCTGTGGAGCTGGGGGTAGGCCGCGCCCTGCGCGCACGTGTCACCGCGTTGCCTACCCCCACCGCGGGCGCCTGGGGTCGTACGCGCGCGCGCCTGTGGAACTGAGGGTAGGCCGCGCCCTGCGCGCGCGTGTCACCGCGTTGCCTACCACCACGGCGGGCGCCTGGGGTCGTGCGCGCGCGCCTGTGGAGCTGGGGGTAGGCCGCGCCCTGCGTGCGCGTGTCACCGCGTTGCCTACCCCCGCGGCGGCCGGGGCGCTCCGCCCTGCGCCGCGCTCCCTCCCGCCCCACCCCCCCACAATTATACGATATGCTGATTTGATTTCGAGCAGAGTATGCAGCAGGCCGCGAGCTCCCCTCTCCTCCCCCCTCCCCACACCGACCTTGCGCGGTTATTCACGTTACATTTCTCTCGGTCGCGCTCAGTCTCACCCCCTGCTGCTGCTGCTGTCGTTTCCATAACGTAACGGTCGTATCTCTACTCACTGTCCCAGCGGCGGCGGCGCCCCCGGCCCCAGCCCAGCCCAGCCCCAGCTCGCTGACAGTGACGGACCTGCTGTATGGATGCACTCTCGAGCCTGTCGCTCACAATAAGGAGACATAGTCGGAGGACCTCTCTCTCTGTCTCTTTCCCTTGCTCCCTTCGCTCTTCACCACACACACACACAATTTACTGGGTTGAAACCCCATCCCCGCCCCGACCGAGCCCCGACTGTTTCCCGCGACGTACTCGTTCACTTTTGCTGTTTTAATTGCGGTGAGTTATTTTTCATCACCGAAGGATCTCAAGTCTCCCCCGTCGTGTCGGTCGTCTGCCGCGCGGCGGAAGGGCAGCCCAACAGTGGCGGCCGGGGTCTCGCTGCCGTGCCGACTGATTCATATGCATGTTGGATATTATACATAAGCCATTCATTTAGCGGACGGCTGGCCGTGCAAGTGGTTTGGCGCCAAGCCCCCCTTCTCTCTCTGTCTCTCTCTGTCTCTCTTTCTCTCTCCCTCACTTTCTCTCTCTCTCTCTCTCTCTCTCTCTCACACTCTCGCTCCACGGCCCACTTGGAGGCGCTAATTGTTTGAGTGAGGTCGGGTCGCGGGGGTGGTCCGTGGAGCAGTGACGGGAGGAGGGGAAGGGGGAGGGGGAGGAATCAATACCTCCGTACTCCGTAGACGCGCAGGGGCAACACCCTGGCTGGCGCGACGCACCGCGCTGCAAGCACGGCAGGCACGGCACGACGCGCTGGACGGACCCGGCCGACCCAGTTACTGCTGCATTACCGCGCGAATGGGTCGTTGTTGTTGTGTGAATGGCCATTCGTGCACTTCGCGAGGATTGAGTTTTCTTTAGTGATTCACATTTTTGTGCCTCCATGTACAGGAACGCCGTTCATTCACCTACCAGTGTGCAACGTTCACACATTTTTGGTTTCCGCAGGTGCGCTGCTGCATTGCATCGCAAGCACACGCACACGGCCAAACTGCGCAGTTATTATTAATTTATTTTCACGCCCTCTTCCGTAATGTGAAGACGAGTACGTTTCTGGCTCGGTCGGAAGGAGGGAAAACGACACACGTCCCATCGCGTCTGTTTATTTCGCGACTTCATGTCGAGGATCGTGCGGAGACCGCAAATTCGATGAAGTCGTCGGTCGGGATCCCTGCCGTCGCTTGAGCGCCCTCCTCCCCTCCTCCTCCGCAGGGCGGCAACGAGGGCTGCGGCGGGTAGAAAGGGGAGGGGGGTG